AGTTAATTTATACCCTCGCAGGGCAAATCCCTTCCGAAGGAACAACTTAGAAGCCTGGGCTGACATATTTTATCAGCGTGACGAGCCGAGTCGTAGACACAATTTGTGGACTTTCGAGAAAATTTTTGGGAAATTATTAAAAACACAGATTTAACGTGTACCCCGAGACAGCATATGAGAACAGCCCATGGCGGCCTTCAGAAGGGAGCGACTCAGAAGGCTGGGGCTGAATATGTTTACTCAGGTGAAGAGCCGAGTCCGTAGACACCTCATTGTGGACTTTTGACAACAACAATTTTTTCTTCGTACGCGGAGCACACAGCTTGACGACTCGGGAACGTTTAACGAAGGCATCCCTTCCGAAGGGCGAGCGACTTCGAAGCCTGGAGCTTTGACATATGTTACTAACAGCGTGACGAGCGATCCGTAGACACCAAACTTGTGACTTATTGGAATCAAATTTCCGTTGTGAAACATTCAACACTAGTTTTAATGAGTGTACACCATTCGACAAAGTCATTGAGTACCCTTCGGAAGGGAGCGACTCAGAAACAGGATGGTGGCTGACATAGTTACTCACGTACGTGAACCGAGCGAGTCAGTTAGACCACCAATTTGTGTGATTTTGACCAAAACTCTTCCGGTGTGACATTCACACTAGTCTTAATACGGTATGGTGGCACTCCCCAGCATATGAGAGAATGAACCCTTCATGTGAAGGGAGCGACTCAGATAGGGCCTGCGGCATGAACATTGTATTACTCAGCGTAGACGACCGAGTCCGTAGACACCCAATTTGTGGACTTTTGACCGAAATCTTTTCGGTCGCACAAGTACACCCAGCGGGCCTCGGAGAACGTTTAACGGGCATTCTTCCAGAGGATGAACTTTAGAGCCTGGGGCTGACATATGTCTAACTCAGCGTGACGAGCGAGTCCGCTAAGAACACGCCAACTTTGTTGGACTTTTTTGACAAAAATTTTTCGTCGGCAGCAAAGCGGGCCCTCAGGACGAACGTTTAACGAGCAATCTCCTTCCGAAGGAGCGGGCTTAAAGCCTGGGCTGGACATTGTACTCAGCGTGACGAGCCGATCGTAGTTAACAAGATTTGGTGGACTTTCGAGAAAATTTTTTTGGAAATTAATTAAAACACAGAATTAACTGGTGTGTCACCCCTGGCAGCATATGAGAGACAACGCCACGGCCCTTCGGAAGGGAGCGACTCAGAAGGTCGGGCTGGACTTATGTTATCAGCATTGACGAGCCGAGTCAGTAGAACCACAAGTTGATGGACTTTGGACAACTTTCCGTCTGTGACATTCACCATAGTCTTAATGTATGGTGTGGCCCGCAGCATATGTAGAGATGACCATGGCGGTCGCTTCCGGGAAGGAATCGACTCCAGAAGGCTGGGGGGCTCGACATTGTTATCTACAGCGTGACAAGCCGGGTCTGTAGGACACCCAATTTGTGGACTTTTTGACAAAGTAGCTATTGTTTATATTGGGTTGCTTTATTATGAGTAGGTAAGTGCTTAAATAGATTATTTTTGTGCAGCAAGCGGGCCTACGAGACGTTTAACGAGGCCATCCTTCCCGGAGGGGAGCGAGACTTGAAGCCTGGGAGCTGACATATGTTAACTCAGCGTACGGCCGAGTCCGTAGACACCAAATTATGTGACTTTGGACAGACCTTTTTTTTAGATTAAGCCCACAGAATTTAACAGAATTTAACGGTGTGCCACGGCAGCATATGAGAGATGATCCATGGCAGCCATTCCAAAGGGAGCGACTCAGAAGGCTGGGGCTGACATATGTTAGTCAGCGTGACAAAACGAGTCTATAGACACCAAATTTATGGACTTTGGACAAACTTTTTTTTTTTAGATAAGAATACAGAAGGGCGGCACGGTGTTGCAGTGGTTAGCGCTGTCGCCTCACAGCAAGAAGGTTCCGGGTTCGAGTCCCGGCTCGGACGCGGGGTCTTTCTGTGTGGAGTTTGCATGTTCTCCCCGTGCTTGCGTGGGTTCTCTCCGGGTACTCTGGCTTCCTCCCACAGTCCAAAGACATGCAAATGGGGACTAGGCTGATTGGTTACTCCAAATTGACCATAGGTATGAATGTGAGAGTGAATGGTTGCTTGTCTCTGTGTGCCCTGCGATGGACTGGCGACCTGTCCAGGGTGTACCCTGCCTCTCGCCCGAACGGATGCTGGGATAGGCTCCAGCCCCCC